CATAACTAATTGCTTACAATTCATTCATTAATTGTATGTACAATATAAAATTCTGTAGAGTATCACAACATGATTAAATAGGAATTAAAAATTGCTCAAATATTTTGAACAACAGTGATTAAGAAAACAAAAATGCCAAATTGATACATTACAATAGCTTCAGTCAAAAAAATAGATGTTAAAGTGTGTTGTGTGTAGTTGGATAAAGAGGCATAATTTTAAGGTGATTGGAGGAAGGTGTAGGGGAGATGTCAGAGGTAGGTTCTTCACACAGAGAGTGGTGGGTGTGTGGAATGCGCTGCTGGCAGTGGTAGTGGAGTCAGATACTTTAGAGACTTTTAAGCGACTCTTGGATAGGCACATGGAGGATAGTAAAATGGAGGGTATGCAGGGTAGGTTGATCTTAGGAGGATAATAGGTCGGCACAACATTGTGGGCCAAAAGGCCTGTACTGTGCTGTACTGTTCTATGTTCTATGTGACACTAAAAGATATAAGTAGAAATTCTTGAGCTTTGGATCAGACAGTGAAGGCATGGTCACTAATGGTGAGGCCAAGGAAATGAAGATCACCCAAAACATGAGTGTCATTAGAACACAGAAATATCAGAGGGTTAGAGGAGTTTACAAAAAAAGTGAAAAAAAGGGCACAGGGAAATTTGAACATAAGAAAGAGGATCCTCAAATTGAAGCACTGGGGTGCTGAGAGCCAATACAGACCAACAGGGACAGTGGCGATGGGCGAACAGGAATTGGTGCAGGATAGATCTTGCTGCAGTTTTGGATGCGCTCAAATTTATGGAGAGCGGAAGTCCAGATGCCGGCATTGGAATATTTGAGCCTGAAGCTAAGAAGAGCAAAGATGAGGGGTTCAGCAGTAAACAAGCTGAGATGATGCAGAAACCGGTGGTTTTGTGGAGATCGCAGTAGGCAGTCTTGGTGATGGCAAGGGTATGACATCAACAGTTCAGTCTAGGGTTAAGTAGAATGCCAACTTTGTAAAACTCATATTCCGCTTGGGAACCCTGCAGCCCAATGGTCTCAATATGGACTTCACAAGCTTCAAAATCTCCCCACCCCCGACCTCATCCCAAAACCAGCCCAGCTCGTCCCCGCCTCCTTGACCTGTCTGTCTTTTCTCCCACCTATCTGCTCCTCCCACTTCACTGACCAACCCCCATCCCTACTTCCTACGTACTAGCCTCATCCCTGCCTCCTTGACCTGTCCGTCTTCCTTCCCAACTACCCACTCCTCACTCCCCACTGACCAACCCCCATCCCAACTCCCTACCCACACTCACCTTTACTGGCTTCATCCCCACCTCCCTGACCTGTCCATCTTCTCTCCACCTATCTGCTCCTCTATCCACCTTCTCCCATCGCCTCCCCCTTTCTCCATTTATTTCAGAGCCCCCTTCCCCTCCCCCATTTCTGAAGAATGGTCCAGACCCGAAACGTCAGCCTTCCTGCTCCTCTGACGCTGCTTGGCCTGCTGTGTTCATCCAGCTCTACACCTTGTTATCTCAGATTCTCCAGCATCGGCAGTTCTCTTTGTAAAAAACCTTGTTCTGCTTGACAGTGGCCAAGAAAAGGGATTGTATCAATGACTAGGAAATGAAGATTTTGGCAGGGTCCAAAATGATTAGCTTTACAGATTATTTTTCCAGGTGCATCAGTATGGGTGTGAGCTGAGAAAGGTTTGAAGGAGGTTTAGTGGATACAATTGAAAAGGAGAGTGAAAACCAGGTTTATTAGACAATAAAGGAGAGCTGCTGGTGAATGATGGTTTGGTTAACGGTATAAAAGTCCACAGACAGCTTGAGAAGGATAAAAGGGATTGCACACTGTGGTGGCAGCAACAGATATTATCTGTTCATGACACTGATCGAGGCTGTTTCAGTTCTGCGGCAGCAGCGGTTACTCCAACTCGAGAGATTCAGATTTAAGGGCACGGGTTTGGAAGCCAACAGTACTTCAAGAAACTCTAATAGGAAAACAAGTTGGAGATGAAGAGAAAGCTCACAATGACAGAAAGGACGAGGATATCTCTTCAAGGCAGGGGCTGATAAACGCAGATTTGAATGAACTGGAAATGAAAACAGTGAGTCATACCTGCAAGACAAAAGAACAGGGCACAAAACACCCGCTTAGAGGATGCTAAGTTCTAGAAACACATCCAAGAAAGAAAGGCCGACAATCTGGGAAAAAATTGCTGAGATCACCCGTTATCCACTTCTGGCACTAGGTCTAGCTATAGTTAGCAGACTTAATGCAGATGCAATGGAAAAGGTTCAAAACAGTCACCAAGAGATAGTCAAAGATTCAATCTATTATCAAAGGAGAATTGACTATGGGAGTGGAAAGCAATTCAGGGCTTTATAACAATAGAAAACTTTTTAAAAAGAACCAGGAAAGTAAAACAAATGTCAGGCTTGGCTTTATATAGCACCTACCATAACCTCAAGATGTTCCAAGCACTTTACAGTAAAGTAAATTAAGTAGTCTTAAATTCCAGTCACTTTTGCAATGTTGGAAAGCAAACTCTAGGACATGACTGGACAAAAATAGATCTAGACTTCACATTTATGTCTAAGTTATGGGATAGTCTGATGCCAAGGATACTGAATATGAGTCTTTAGGTTTCAAACAGGAAATTGACAGTTATATTAAAAATGCAGGTACTGGAAATCTAAAACAAACACAGAGAATCTTGGAGAAACTCAGCAGGTCTGGCAGCATCACTGGAGGCAGAAACAGAGTTAACATATTGAATCCAATATGACTCTTCTCCAACTTTGAAGAAAAGTCATACTGAACTCAAAATATTAACACTGTTTCTTTCTCCACAGCTGTCACCAGCCTTCCTGAGTTTCTCCAGCACATTTTGACAGTATTTTAGGAAATTAACAGTTTCCTGATTCTGCAAGGAGTTGGCTAAAATAGATAATGTCACTGAAAAATATATTTATGTGGCATCTTTCAGGAAGTTTGGGCTTCCGAACTGCGTCACAGATGATAAAATGATTTTTGGTGTGTCTTCATTGCTGGAAAACCAGGCAGCCAACTTGTTTATCAAAGTTCCACAAATAGCACAAAAATTCCTAGCCATCTGGTTTACTGATGCTAATTGAAGGGTAATAGCTGTCAGAACCTTTCCCCGAATTGTGCCATAATACCATGATGTCCACCTGGCAGGAAGACAAGACCTTGGTTCAACATCCCATCTGAAGGATGATACCTCCGACAGCAGTTCCTTATTGGTACTGCACTACAGTGTCAATCTGGCATTTTACATGTCAACAGCCAGAGGTGGATTTTCATTCTGGGGTTGGGGCCACTGGGTCAGGCAGAATTTCTGTATTCCAACCCACTGCGTTAGGCTCTGATGTCATTTTTTCCTAGCTGGTCGATGAGGGCACATACATGCCATCTAACTGAAGAGTGTGGGCAAGCTCCCATAGCTGGAGAACAGAAAAGGAGCCACTCCAGAAATGTCAGGTCAACAGCCTCGCCATCAGAGTTACCAATGTAGCTCGAAGAGTGGGGAAACCATCAAACTGGAGATGCCCATCGAAGAATTTTACAATCGGTGAAAACAAAACTGACTAAAAATAACCCAAAACCAGTCCAGCTCGTCCCTGCCTCCCTAACCTGTTCTTCCTCCCACCTATCCCCTCCTCCCACCTCAAGCCGCACCTCCATCTCCTACCGACCAACCTCATCCCGCCCCCTTGACCTGTCCGTCCTCCCTGGACTGACCTATCCCCTTCCTAACTCCCCACCTACACTCACCTTTACTGGCCCCATCCCCGCCTCTTCGACCTGTTTGTTTCTTCTCCACCTATCCTCTCCTCTATCCATCTTCTAATCGCCTCCCACTCTCTCCCTATTTATTTCAGAACCCCCTTCCCCTCCCCCTTTTATGATGAAGGGTCTAGGCCCGAAACGTCAGCCTCTCTGCTCCTATGATGCTGCTTGGCCTGCTGTGTTCATCCAGCCCTGTACCTTGTTGTCTCTAAAAATAACACTGCCAGATTGCTACATTAGAGGGGAAATCCATCCACATGGTAGTCTACAGTCATAACAACGGAATACCGGGATGGGGAGTTAAGGCTGTCACCAACTCCTCACCACCGACACCCCCCATCCCACACTACCCCTTCCACCAGGAAGCCATTTCCATTCATTGGCTCAGATTTGGCCTCAGTGGAGGAGCTGGTCCACATCTCCAATGTTTTCTTAATTGGCTCTTTAAGGGCCTTAATTGGCTATCCATTAGTTGTGGGTAGACAGTTACGATTTGTTTCCTTCCAAAACCCATTTCTAAAGAAGCCCACAGGAAGGAACATGCACAAGCTGGCACATCAGCCTGCATGGGGAAATTCTGGACCTGTCTGCTTCTGATCCAGTTTACAGCCATTAAGACATTAGCTTTTTGCTTCATAAAATTGCATCCTTACTCCAAACAGTAAATAAAACAAATCAACTGATAAGAGATTTGCATAATGTCCCCAGAATTTATCTGATTGTTAGATGAGATAGTGGTCTGACCTTGACAATGACAAAGTAGTGCTTGCAGCTCTCTTTCCTGGAGGACAGCTCAATTTTCTCCATGATCTGGCTCACTGGTTCACTGGCATAGATGTAAACCCTGGCCTGCAGGCCTTTCTGTTTCTTCAGTGCATCTGCTGTCAGATTGTAAATCAATTCTGCAATGAAGCATTGAATTAAGTATTAGTAAAGTCATTATAGTAGACATCCAGCATTCAGGAACACCAAACAAGGGTAATCTGGTTAACATAGGAATAGCAAAGATAATAGTATCAGCACCTGCTTAAATAATATTGAATCTTAAAAATTCACACAGAAAGATCACTTTTGGATATAAAACAAAATTTTAAAATATCACACTAAAAAGAGTCACACAGAGTGAGGGGCTCTTATTGCAGAGTGGTAGTATTCCTACCTCTGAGCTGGGAGACCTTGCTTTCAAGTCTTATCTACTCCAGAGATATCTATTAACAACTCTGAACAGGGTGATTAGGAAGTATTTTAAAAAGTCACACAGCAATGCATTTTCAGTCTCAGTGTTATTAGAAAGCTGTTTCATTTTCCGATTTGAAATTTCACTGCTGTCTTATTCACCCAATAGCTTCTGCTTGTGCCTCTCAGGCCTAGTCAGACATAACTGAGTGAGGTTAAATCTGCATTTTCCTTTACCTTCAAAGATTATCTATCCCTCCAGTTCTCAATGTCCCATGCACCACCCCAGCATAAAGCCATTGGATACACTGATATCCAGTAAAAACAGAATCATAAATTTATTCAATGTTTTGAACAAGAACTTTCTCCCAGATGTTTCTTTGCTTCTAAGTATCAGCTACCATTACACTCCACCCATAATGAGAAAAATGCCTGACAAGGCTGAGATTGTGTACAGAGCACAGCTAGATACCTTGATTGATTTTGACTGGTCATCTTACATGACTGGACACTACAAGCCTGTATTCCACCTCTTCAGGGAGACTGACATCTCAATTTTGTGCCATTATCAACTTGATGCAGCTTTACTTCTACGCTGTTCGAAAGAGGTTGTGTATAATTTTATCAAAGCTCAGATGTGAGGGACAGGAATGCACAATAGGGTTAGTGATTAAAGCACAGAGCATGTTTGCATTTAAGAATAATTTAGATAAACCATCAAAATCATACTGAAGTTTTAGGCTTAGCAGCTTGGATTTGGAAAGGCTATGTCATGCCTGTCAAACCTAACTGTACTTTCTACAAGAGATAACTAAATTAAAAGGGGCATGCCTATAAATATAATTTAGTAAATGCTTTCCGTAAATCTGTACAATGTCCCATAAGAGAGATGAATAGTTAAAGTGAAACTCATGGAACTGACAGCACATTACTGACTGATTACAAGATTGGCTAGAGAGAGAATGGGGATAATGGTCATATACTCTAACTAATAGGATACAGCAAATGATGTCTCAGAGGAATCTGTGTTAAAGCCTCAACTATTCAGTGTAATCAGTAACTCAGATGATGTGATAGAATGATAAATAATTTACATGTGAATAGTGTAGATGAATACATAAAATTGCAAAAAGGTAACAGAATAGTAAATTGGCAAAATTACAAATGAATTTCAAGATGGGCAAATGTGTGATTGTCCAAGTTGGACCTTAAAAGAATAGTTTGTAGTGCTTTATAGATGTAAAAATCCAGAAGAAATGAAAGTTAAATAAACCTTGCAGTGTGTGCATATAGGTTAAAGTTATATAAACCGATGCAAAAACAATTAGAATGGATAATGGAATCATGATCTCTATACCACGAAGACTCGAATACAAAAGATGAGAAGTTGAACGCTGTGGCTATATAAAGTTCTGAATTGCTTACACCTGCAGAATGTTTTTCCTTCCTAAAATAAGAAAAAGAAGCAGGAGTAAAACATTGACTGCCTTGAACCTGTTCAAAACAAACCCCTGAGAGATGATGTTTTTCCTTATCACCATGTTAGGTGAGAGGCTTCTTATTTTGAAACTATTCTAGTTTCTACTATGAAGCGAGACATTCTTTTCATATCCACCCTGTCAAGCATCCTCAAAATTTTATATCTTTCAGTAAGATCACTTCTCATTCTTCTAAACTCTAATTAGTACAGGCCCAATCTGTTCAATTTTTGTTTAGAAGACAAGGATCTCACAAATCAAGCTAATTTCTTGAACTGTCTCCATGCAAACATGTCATTCCCTAAGTAAGGAAACCAAAACTGTATGCAGTGCACTAACTGCAGTATTACCATGGTCCTGTATATTTCCCCGACTTGAATAGCCATTCTCCTAGCAATCAATACCAATATTCCATTTGCCTTCTTAACTATTTGTAGTACTCACATGCCAGAATTCTGTGAATCATGTACAAGCAAACCCAGATCACTCTGGACAACAACAGTTAGCAGTGTCGCTCTATCTAAATAATATTGTGCTTTTCAATTCTTCCCCCTAAGTGTGGAACCATACAAATTCCCAGATTATAATGTATTTGCTCATGTTTTGACCACTCATTTAACCGATCTATAACTCTTTGCAGATCCATTGTACTCTCCTCACATCATGCTTTCTATCCAAATAAAAACCGAAAGAACTGCGGATGCTGTAAATCAGGAACAAAAACAGAAGTTTCTGTTAAAGCTCAGCAGGTCTGGCAGCGTCTGTGAAGAAAAAAATCAGAGTTAATGTTTTGGGTCCGCTGAGTAAGGGTCACCGGACCTGAAACGTTAACTCTGATTTTTTTCTTCGCAGATGCTGCCAGACCTGCTGAGCTTTTCGAGCAACTTCTGTTTTTGTTCATGCTTTCCATCCAACTTTGCATCATCAATAAATCTGGCTACAAGACATTCCATTGTTTCATTCAGTTACTAATATCAATTGTTAGTCTATGGATGCACTTCACTGGGTCCTTGCCAGGGATTAGGGCTAATGGTACTGGGCAAGAAACACTGGATCAATGTTCAGGAGGTGTCTAAAGCAAAGACAGCTGTGGACTTTCCCCACCAAAGGGAGAAGGCACCTGCACTGACAGTCAGCAGGGGCAGTGTGGAAGAGCGTCAGAAGGCAAAATTCATGACTCAGTCATTGGAGCGAACACTCTCTGCAAACTCCCATACGCTACAGTTGGAATGCAGCAAATTCTCTGACATTCCTCTTTCACCTTATTTTACTTACTTAATGAATAAAGGTTAAATTAAAATTAGCAACTTTTTCTTTAAACTGTTCTAATCCATTCCTTACTTTGCTCCATTCCTTGATTTTTTTGGCTCATTTGTTCTTTTGTTTATTCTTTACTTATTAATTATGTCAGTTTTTAACTTGATAAATGATCCAATATTAGCATCCTCTATCTGGTTGATTCTGAAATGTCTTTATCACTTATCAATGGGTCTCTGATCCCCACACCTGCTCTGACCTTGCTTCATAAGATTGAATTGTTTTCGATTCTTCCTTGCATCACATAAAGGCCTCTCCTTTCAGCCTCTTATCTTGGGCTTTCCAGCCTATTTCTGCTGACTTTCAGGATTAGGAGGCACAGATTAGAAATTTGAGTTAGACCTTTTAAGGAAACACTTCTCCATGCAAAGGGGAATAATTGTGTTTAGAACTCTCTTCTGCAAACAGCAATCAATGCTCGGTCAGTGGTTCCTACCAGCCACACGTATGAAGGAATACAGGGCAAAAACAACTCTCTGGCATTAAATCACAGAGCAGCGTTGATTTCAATAAATTGCAGAGCAGGCTTGAGGGACCAAATGGCCTCCTCGTTTCCCTCTGTGTGTATACTGAAACAAGGCTAACTTCCTATCTGGAGGGTCACACCAAACCGTTAGGCTAAACAACTGCTTCCATGATGTCATATCAGAGTAATTTTCTCACGCTGAGTTACTGGGTGAGCATAATAACTACAAGGGAGAACAGTGAAATGACAGTTTTCATAAAATCAAAGGTCTCATTATTCCATTTCATTTGTTTTAATTAGAGTTTCCCAATTTAACAGGGCTGTGCTTTGTTTTCCTACAAGCAAATTTTATATTTTCCTGCTGTTTCCTGTAACATGTTTCTGATGAGATGAAGGAACATCCAGAACTAACAGAACTGCACAGGTACTACATTCAGATAAAGGTCCTCCTTCCAGACAGGAGCACAACTATAGGTGTTTTAATGTGTGTGCGAACTGTAGTCTATTTAATATTCATTAAAGGGATGTTTATTATAAATTGGGATATGTTTGGTAGGGTGGGATGACATGAAGGCCTTTTTATACCATTCCTCAACATCTACATGGACCATTAGCTGCATATCACCCCTCCCCCATATCCCTGCCAGCATAAAGCTCTATTCTTATTATAACAGAGGATTCTTCTTGCTAGTAATTTCAACTAGCCACAATTTCTGCGTGAATTCCTGCAGCAAGTAGGGTAAAGATTACTTCTGGTTCTTTGTGTTTAATTTTTTGTAAGGCATTCATGGCACATATATATTCTGAGGGCTGTTTGTAGACAGCATTTTGGGGCCAGTTTTGCTACACCCAAGTCCTAGTGTACGATGATCCAGCTTCTTCTAGCTCAAAGAAATCAGATATATTGAAACTGCAGCATAGCAGGGACTATATGATCTGTCATGCCTTTCATAGTGTTACCTTGTCAGCTACAGCTGTCCTAAGAATTAGTGCAGCTCAGGCAGAAATAAACATAAAAGTGAAAGTAGCTGAAAGTTAATTATATGAAAGATATAATTTTAAAAATTGCATGGTTTCAAACTAAATAGTCCTCATTTAGCCCTGAATATATTGAAAAGGCAGAGTCAATGACAGAAGGGGAAATTGTCCCTTGTTTCTGTCAGTGAACAAATAGAATGTGTCAAAGCTAAAAGTGAAAGAATGGTGAAATTTCAGAATAACACACAAGTCAAGTAAATAAAAAGGCAGCTGCTGAACAACAAACCATAGTAACTGGCAACATTAAATGAATGCTGAGGCAGCTAACACATAAGATCATGGGAAACTGTCAAAAGGAGCATCTACAGATTCCATTGGATGCATATGTTCAACCCATGGCAGCTGAATAGCATCAGGAAAAAGTATCTGAGAACTTAGAAATCTTGGAATGATCTGGATTCCACGGCTGGGCAAGCAACCCGGATAT